CTGAAAGAAAAGGAGCAGAGCTTGATTACCGCAAAATATTTGGAAATGACTGGTTAGCTGCTGGAGGGAATTGGAACCCAGAGAAAAACAAACCAAGTGAAGAATTTCTTGCTGCCCATCCCAGATACCCATCTCTTTGTCTTAGTAAGTACAACTAAAGTAAAATCAGCCTTTCCTCACTTCCATCATTGTGGTAGCACCGGTTCCGTCTCTCTCCAGTTTCCCTTCCCCTTGATGCTTTTTCCTTGTGCTTCTGCTGCCTTAGGAAAGCCCACCATTGGCAGGCCTGTGTGCAAAGGGCTTCTGCTTCTGTGGGGCAGCCACACAGTCCTGCACCCTTCGGGGCACTGCTGCCTCAGGAACTTGGGCTCACTGCCTCAGATATGACACCCGTGAGCATCTGCCCCATAACTCCACTGGTGAGCAGGCAGGGCTGTCTCCACCTGGGACTTCTTTAAAGCAGCACCTCCTTGTGCTTGTCACCTGCTCCACCTGCATCCCACATGCCTGTGCACTCTCCTAAATGCTCTAGCAGTAGATCAAGGCTCATGCCTGCAGCACTCAGCATTGCAGGAGCCTACCTCTTTCTCTACTTGGTATCCCAGCTGCTGATGGGACTGATCCAACAGGCTTACACCTGATTCAACACCACAGTGTGCTTAGGTCTTCTGTTGAGTTTTAGACTTTGAAGGGTTCATGTCTACATGCACTTTCCTTCACACAGAGTATGGTGCACCTGAAGAAGGAGAACTGAAGAGACAACAGCCTTTGACCCTGAAAAATCAGCTTCTGAGTAAGAGGCCAGAAATGGTCAAAATTTTTCCTTCTGCACTTAAAACATTTTACAGGCTTAGTGGTGCCTGGGTGTATATGGAGAACAAAAGGTTCAAAAGCCTTTGAGACATCACAGAGTTCCAGCTTGTAATTCTGCTTCTCTGAACTGTGCCTGTCAATGAGTTTGGGCAGATACCTGCTCTGTGTACGCTGTCTCAATTCCCCCTCAACCAAAGCTGAATGACTTTCTTAATTAAGACTTGATGGAGAATAGAGCTAATCAGTACTCTATTCTGAGGGTGTGACTGACTTCTCTACAGAAGACATTTGAGATTTTTAACCTCAATAGCTGTTTTCTGATTTTTATTATTTTTTTTTAATAGCTTCTTAACTTTAGGACAGTCAGAAAAATGGGGTAGCTTTGGTATTTGGGGCTGTCTACACATTGAAACTAGGTTACATTCCAGACTTACAAATTCATGTAGCTTTGTTTCCCAGGGGATAGAAGAACTGAACCTTTTTTTACTCCATAGGCAGAATAGTATTTTAAGGCATTACATTCTAATGCATTTAGGTGGAAGACTAAACAGAACAAGGAATCTAGTGGGCTAGACATAACAGAAACCCCTTTTTTTAAGGATGAGTTTTTTAATCTCTGTAAAAGAATTAGGCTAACTTCCTTAAAATGTGCTTGTACAGTGCTTTTGAGATATTGAGGGTCTGCTTTAAACTGAGTAAGCAATTTCCATTCTACTGCAGGTTATTTTATAAAGTTAACTAGAAATTAAGCATTTTTAGGTAAATAGTCCTTTTGACCAAAAAAACCATGTTGAGTATTAGGGAGTCACTTTTAAAATATTTTCCCTAGTTTAACAAAGATTAATAAAAAACTTGATTATTTTAATAGAATTACTTTTTCAGAGAATGACTAAGTGCTATTTTAGCTGCTCAGATGCAGGCTACATCCTAATTTTTTTAGATCAGGCTGAGCTGGGGGAGACAATTTGTAATAAAAACAGACTAGACAGACTGTGCTCCTGACAGGACTTAACGTTCATTCACTAATGCCTCACCATTCTTCCTTAAGCTTTGACAATTAAATGTCCTGAGAAACCTGAACAGAAGCCAGTAGAGAAAAAGCTACCAGGTAAGAAGTCTTGGCTCATATTTAAGCAGTTGATTTGTAGCTCCTTTTCAAATAACTGTATTAAAGAATGGCAGCTGCCTCTGGCTTTATCAGCTCCTGAAGGTTCTCCCCTGCAGACTCTGTCATACAAAGAAATGACAAAGGTAGAAATTGTTTGAAAAAGTCATTATTTTTCTGTACCTTCATACTTACTTTCAGTCCAGCTTGAAGATTGAAAGTTGATGCTTGTCTTATGACCTCTGCTGCTGGATTCATGATTAATGTGTTTGAGGCAATGAAAGGCTAATTAACTGGTATGAAATCTGGTGGATGTGTTAACCAAATAACAAGAACATGAACTTGTAAGAGCTAACTACATAGTCTGCAGTTCTAGATATTGAGGTCTAGTATCTAATACATACATGAAGTTAGAAATCTAATTATGACCTGCATCAAATTTGTCTTTTGACAGTTTAGTGCCTGCAGTGAGACCAGAATGAACAGACTTTGTTCTAAATCAAACTGATGTTTTGGAAAGTAAAAGACTTACTCAAACTTTATTCTAAAATAAAAATCACATTTATTATCACAAGTTGCATAAAATCAGATAGATACAGCTTTTACAAAAATGTTTGATAGAAAAATATTTGTCTAAGTACAACGTGTGGTTTTACAGGAATAACTCACTATTGCTGTGCCTTTAGATAAAGCTTCAAAAGAAGTGAAAATTCAACCAAAATACTGAGTATATCTATTGCAAACACAGGTATCACCTCTGGAACAAACTACATTCACTCATCCAAGATCCATTACAAAAAATATCCCTTTGTGTAACTGACTTCATAATATAAACAACTCTACAACTCCACTGGTAATTTGTTTGGGACTAATTAATGTGACACCATTTCTAAGAATGGCACTAGTTCCACAGTGACATTCATTTATTTGTGCTGGGAAAGCCAATTCCTGGTAATAAAAACTTGAAGGAACAGTCACCAGATGCAAGTAGTCAGAACCTGACTGGTATGTGTCCCAAAGGTCACTTAGTTTGGCATGTAGTAAATACAAACTCAAAAAGGTAAATTATGAAGCTGTAACACTTTTAATTTGGTATATGGGATCAAAGCGCTTCAGCCAGAGTAGCGTATCCTGTCCTGTCCTGTCCCCCAGAGACTAAACCAACTTCAATTTGCTATTAGCAGTTATGGTTTCCAGTACAAAAGACATTATTGCAGTGTTAGACCTGAAGCAGCAATACAGCCATTCACTGTTGCTGTAAGCAAGTACAGTTGAAACACGAGTACTCTGCTACAGCTCAGTGATAGCAGCATTTTTCTAATAACTTTTCTTTCTTTCTCCTTGACAGACTCTATGACTATTCAGAGGGTCAAAGGATTGCTCTATCGCCTGCTGAAAATTCCTGGTTCAGAACTGAAACTGTCCTACGAAAGTTCTAAAGTGAGTTAAAAACGGGTAATTCAACAATCAAATACTGCATGCTGCTAAAGGGCAAGGGCATGTTCTAAAGTACGACCTAATGAAATTGATGTCACTTAAGGAGGGCAGTCTGCATGCTGCAATTTAGGATCTAATTTAATTCCTGTAATATGACAGAGCCTCCCTGACTGCAACTGCCTGTTCTGTACTTGGTTTACATGAACAGATTTCAGTTTAAGTCTGATCAGGTTTTTTTTTCCTTTCTTATTCTAGCTGGAAGGAAAAGAAGTTGAACTAGACAATGACTTAAAGCCTTTGCAGTTTTACTCAATAGAAAATGGAGACTGTGTGTTAGTACGGTGGTAAGAAGGGACTCTTCTTGACAGGCTGAAGGAAAAGCCACCACTGGAAGTGCAGAAGAGTTCCAGACTGCCTCCAGAGAGTATGGACAGCCTGTGCCTGGACACACCTATAGGAGAATGTGAATTTCCTACCTGGCACCAGAGGGCTACACAGCAACACTTTCAGCTCCTGGACTTAATCCTCAGTCTCCATGAAAGCTTTTGCTTTTGGCTGAATTGTCTTACTTGAGACTGCTTAGATGTTTCAATTAAATAAAACTCAAGGTAACTCTTTTGCCAAGATTTTATACTACCTTCCTACTGCAGCAGTGAGAATTTGTTTTACTGAACCGAGTACATGATTTAGCTGTCATCTCTTTGCTTATAATAGGACAGAATTAGTGCTGCACTGAAAGAGGCTACTTGCTCTTTTTGTTTTCACCTACTTCCAAAGACCTTAAAGCAAACAAAAGTAAAACAGCAGTAATTGTAGAAATATCTACACAGCCTTAGACTGTTTTAAGGTAAAAATCTGAGACCTTTATTCTACCCTACAGCATTACCATACCACAGTATAAATACGTTTGCAGCATACTGCAAGGCATTGCTATTGTAAGTTACATTCTTTAGTGTGCTCTTCCTCAATCTTATTTTGCTTTCAGTTGTGTACCCTCAGATTCATATCTAATAACACATTGAACTATCAGAAATCCCTCCTAATCAGGCTAAGTTTGCAGTACTTCAGGATTTGGTATAAGCAAACTTTGATATTGTTTTTTTTTAATCTAAAATGACAATGGTATAAACAAACTAAACATAAATTCTAGCCCCAAGCTGTCCCAGGCCCTGCGCAGATGAGAGCGACCCCTCAGTTTGCACAGAACCTGCTGCAGCAAGACTTACCAGATGCCCTGGTGCTGAGCACAGCTCTCCACTGGATCCTGGTACAGCTCTATACTCAGTGAAATCAGTAGTACTTTAACTTACAAAAGACAGGCTAGTTGGCATTCTTATGTGCATTTATTAATTACAAGTAGGTCTTTGACTTTATATAAAAAGGATTTTTTTTTTTATCTTAAACATTTTGGTTTTTGTCAGATCAACATCTATCCTATAGAAAATGAATAGGATCAGTCCATTCGTAATTATCAAAAGGGATGTGCAAATATTGTTATACTTTAGTTGAAACCCAACATTAAAAGATACCTTAATGTTCCAAGAATGAATCCAAATGTTATCCATTATCATTATATGCTACCCTGTTTTCCAAGGCAAGCCCATCACCTTTCCTCACATCTACAAGGATCTCCACACAGTTCTTTTAATCTCCAGAGCTCTCTCAGTTCCTGTGGAGAATACTGGGGGGAAGACAGCATGCCACTCTCACATGTCTTCTCGCACAACCAGAGACTATCCTGTTAGAGGGAGAACCATTTCAATAGTTTTTCTTACAAGGAACTTCATCTTGAACAATCTCTACTTCCAAGAATCAGGTTTTCATTGTTTCTAGCAACAAACTTTGCACACAAAATCAGCAGCTGGAGGTATACGTCCCTCTCTGATCTGTTAGGCCTGTTCACAGAACTTAGGGGGTCAGGATGGGGGGCTGCTGGTGGGGCTGTGGGGTTTATGTGGTTTTTCTTTTAAATACTTCTTGAGATTTTTTTTCTGTATTTTAATCCAATATCTGTTTCAATTTTTTTTTTTAAGAAAAACCATTTCCCCTATTTTATGCTACTTGGAGCAACAGGCATGTTCTCTTTCCATAAGATCAGAGAATTTCTTCAGACTTACTTGATATCTCTTGGGTCCTACAGCTGCCATCCAGATGCCCATACTCACATCTTCACCCTGAGGCAAGACATTACAATAAAAAAATACAGATATTAGCACCAGAAAAGTGTGAAACATGACTTTGTGAACTGGAACAAGCTGCATCATGTACCAAGCAGTAAAAAAATGGTAACTACAAAAGCCTTTGACTATTTTAGAGGTGTTAAATTAATCCTCCCAGCTTTCCTGTGATTCTTAAAAGAGTACAAAAACCAAGATTACAGCTCCACAAAACAGTTGTGCTTTGACCTAGAAGAGACACGAAGCATAGTAACCAAAAGCACTGCAAACAGCCAGCATTAACCAGGAGAACTCAACACTAACACCTGAACAGTGTTCTTTCCAACTCAGCCAGTACACAGGGTGTTCCCTAGACCATTTTAAGACAGAAAAACTGATCCAACGCTTTAGTACCTGGTACGTCTTTAATCTTTCAGAGTTGCTTGCCAGCCACTGAACAATGTCTTTGGAGATGACGTAGCCAGACCCACAAGCAAAGGCTGGATATGCAGGACTTGGGTACTCCAGCTCTTGCCATTTCCCAGTTCGATCAACTGCCCAATTTAATCTGAAACTGAAGACCATATTAGATGTGAGATGTATATACAAAACCCTCTGTGAAACCTATGAACACTGATAACCACTGAAGTAACACTGATAATAAACAATATTAAGAGGAAGAAGTAGAAGGTGACCCTAATGGTACCTCCTAGCTTTATTTCTCTAGGGCACACATCTAATCGAATACAACAGCTGAGAATGTAACTATTATTTGGTCTCAATCTTGGGTAAGAAGTTTTTAGGACAGAAACAAAGTCAACATAGCCAGACAGGTCTTCAGCACATCTGCACCTGCTGCTGGGTTTTGATCCAGGTAAGCACAAGCCTCCTTACCTGTGTTCTGTAACAGGCACATCTGTGTCCAACCCCATTTGGTGAGTCGACAGGACAGTCAGTGCCTGCAGCCAGCAGGCAGTTACAGCCATCTTGCACAACCCGTTCTCCTGATAACACCAGTGGCTGCTTCAAAACCAGGCAGCAAGGCAAAGTACTGGGTTTTTATATACCTTCTCTAAGCTGTTCTCCAAACAAAATTCAACAAAGGCTGCCATCACTGAATTACAAAAATCCTTCCTGGCAGTCGTCTTCTCTAAGGAGGATCATACTCCCTGCTAGAGGCCTGCGGAAAGCCAGCAGTGCTCTGTCTGCACGGTGTCCGTGCTGACTCCATCCCCAGGCGGTGTGGCACAGCAGCTTTAACGCCACTCCAGACCCTGTGAAACCCCTGTGTCAGGCCGTGAGAAACGCCCGGCTTCTCCTCTTCAGGACCAGACTGATATTACACTCTTACAAGTACTTCATGTGCTCACAGCTAAATGGCATCGCTATGTCAATGCAGCAGGGTCTCCCCTTTTTGCAGACAGGTTCAAGCGCTGCTGAGTTCAGTGAGGAGCACAAGCAGCTAAAACCTTTAGTGAGCTACTAAGAATTGTCACCTCAAACAACAGCCCCATACGGGAGGAATTACAGTTGAGTGGCAGATCTGTTACCAGACTCTGCACATCCACAGCTGAAGCTGACATGTTGAAGCACCAAACAGATAAGTCACATCTGATACTTGAATTCACTTTAGATTCAGTATCTTCCACTCTCCAAGTCACAGCAGGAAGGGTGCAATCCCCTCCCGACTGAGGGGCACCTGCTTTGCTAATCACTTTATACTTCTGTAGTGATTTCAGCATTGTGCACTGCAGCTCACACTTGCCTTACCCAAAGACTATGACACTTGAAGATGTCACCCCTACATAAAGTTCTCCACATACAGAAAAGAAGATGTTTTCATCTCTTCTCTCCCAGCATGACTTGTGACTTCCTTTTTTCAGTAACCTAATAAAATTACTTGATACCTTAACACACCATTTCTACAGCAAGACTCAGCAAAACTCATTTTTCAGTCTGCAGAAGAAAGCAGCAGTGATCCTCCTAAGTTCACTCAATGGTTATTCTAAGGCAAGCCTAGAAATGTGTTACTAGAACAGGAAGCATGTTGCATTCAACAGCATATCTTGCACCTCAGAAAAAGGGGACGTTCATATTACAAATTAAACATATCTTCATGGAACACTTCAAGTATCTGAAGTTTCTTTTTGGCTTAATTAAGGTCAAGAAGAGATGCCATTCTGAACTCCCACTGCTTTCCAGAGCATGACAGATGAGCCAGCTTCAGTGAACTGCCTTTTCATTTACAGCCTTCATATTAGATTCAGTGTCCATCAGAAAGAGCTTGGTACACTCTACCCCATCATAAATCTGTTCATTTGCAGACATGATCAGTGATGTGTCAAAGACACTTCTCCCATGCCTGCGGGTGACTAATCTTTTGACAGTTTTAAAAGAACAGAATAGCAGTAACTTAAGATAAGTATGTTCTTTCCAAGATGAGCCAAAGTTCTGAATTAGGATGCCTGGACCATTTGGTTTTCCAGTCTGCAGTCCTTAAATGCTCTACAGTAGCTAGATAAGCTTTTTAAATGGTGATTTAAAATTAATGAACAAAACCACCACACAGTATGAAGTGGCATCAGAAAATGACTATTAACTGACAGCACACGTAAGTACTGCTCAATCCAAAGCAATCCCTTCCCAGTTTCACTAAGATCTCATCCTTGGCTTCTGGCACAATAAGCTGGTAGTTTCAGAATTCACAAGAACTCTGACATGTTTCTCTAAGAATACAGGAATTAATTAAGTATTAACAGATTATAAGGAACACTGGACAACAAGAAACTTAACTACAGAAACCTTAATAAGGTCTAGGTGAAGAATGCAAAGTTGAGTTCTCAGACACATGCTCAGAGGAGCAGAAGGGAGACCATCAAGAAAGTCACCTCAAGGGCAAGATACATTAACCTTCTGCTCAGGAAGTTCAGGTCTCCACACAGCAGAACGAGCTCTCAGAGAAGACTAACAGTATTTCATTTGCACTTTCATCAATGCTCAAATCTAAATACACAAGATGTCACTGAGTTGAAAGGTAGGAGAGCTTGGAAGGATCCCCCAGAACCACTCTGAAGATTCCTGTACACCCAGTGGTTACCCACAAAGCTGAACACATAACCAGAAAACTCTGTCCAAGGAGCAGACCCGTGGTAGGCAGCAACACAAAGGTAGGGACACCAGGGAGAAGGGGGGCAATCTCTTTGGTATGACATCCTCAGCTCTTACAGCTAAGAACATACTCCAGAAGAGCCTTTCCTACATCTGCTGGAACAGCAGCCCAGGCAGCTTATACATAATGCTATTTTTTGTTCTGCAAGTTGGTTTCCATCTTGTCATCAAGTTCCTGACCTTTTACATCACTAGAATGAACCTGTCTTACCTTCACTATTAACCTTGCCTTGTGGTAAAGGCAGTCCCAAGAAAATTTAACAGGCATCAGGCAATCAGGGGTTTTGTACAGACTACAGAAGACATATGCCCACCACTCAGATCTTTGAGATCATCACAAGACAACCAGCTAACCCACACACTTATACACACCTTACTCAATCACCTTAGGAGTAAGCAACAATTAGTACCAGATTTGCAAAGCAAGACATGGTAAGCAGCAAAGGGCAGCTTTTCTTCTGTGAGCAGACAGCAACCAGAAAAACATACCGTGCCTTTGTGCTACATTGAATATTACAGCAGTGTAGCATTTTTGTTCTATTGGACGTTATACCAGTGTAGCAATGCATTCCATGGCTGGAAGGGAAGAGGTGGGCTATTTTGATCCTCCTAGTTACTCAAACATGTAGTACAGGCTGGGGAACTTCATTCAAGAATTCATGAATCAGATCTACCATTTCAGACAGCGGCAAAATGGGCAGCAATGCCTGTCATTCATAGACTTCAAAACAAAGTGCAGACTATAAAGGCAATTTTGTTTCTCCCGTTTACGCCATTTCCTCAAGCCCATCAGAAAAATCACAGGCTTCAAAAAAAGTAATGTTTACAATTCTAGTATGTACTTGCCTTTTAACTTTACTGGTGGAATACTTTTATTTACTTAAGTACCACAACAAAGACATATACAACACATTTTAAAACTAGGTAAGATATTAAACAAGTTCAGATGATTGTAAAGGCACACTCTGGAAAGCTATGGTAAAGGACTGACTTCTGTATTCTGAGATTCAAAGATCTACAGATATAAAAGTCCTGCTTTATATAACTAGTTTCCATAGGCAGAAAAGGGCAACCCACATGAAAACAGTAAACTGTTCACTAAAGACACAGTATTTCTTAAAGATAAGTTAAAAAAACCAACTCACTTTCCCCACCAAATGTTTGGCCTGTCCAATTTTTTCTGCATTATCCTGTTAAAAACAGCTTCCAAATCAATGTAACAGTCGTCATCTGTCTTCAGCAACGAATCAAAACTCGTTGATTCAACTGTCCTGTAGCCAAAAACAAAATGATGAGATGCTGAGCTGCAGCTGACAAACCAGTTACACAACAGAACACTCTGCAAGAGTTTTTTGGGAAGGCGAGGGGAAAGGAGGAGGGAAGGAATGTCGTTCCTACCCTCCACTTCTAAATGTTTTCCCTATTTACCACAGCCGGCTGCTTCCTACAGAAAGGAGATGCAGCTGCGTCCTATGATGATCTCACAACATGGATTTGTGTATGAGCTGAAGAAAACAAACATGAAGTTTTGTTCTCCAGGACAGATGGTGGATTTACTAATGAATCCGTCTTAAACAGTATTGACCTCAGAAGGATACGAATCCCTGCTGATGATGGCAGCACAGCTGTTAAAAGCCGGTGGCTACATGTCAGTAGCCTACTCTTCAGGATGAGACAGTCAGCTCAAGGGCAATACAACTGTAGAAGGTTGTAAGAAATAACTGTGAAAACAACTTGATACTTTCTCTTCCTCGGTAAAGCACCCTTCAAATGCAAAAAAAGTAATCTTTAACTGTCTGAAATAGTTGAATATCTGTCTCAAGTAAAATAACCAAAGCAGCTTAAGATTCTAGGGATTATTCCTGGGTTGATAACAAACATTGTTTTAAGGGTAATTTCTCTTAACAAAAAAGGCATTTTCCTTAAGCCTTTTGTTACTAAATCTTTAAAAATTTGCTAACCTGTAAGAAATGATCACAAAGATCTTGACATTTAAATTCCCTGAAAGCATGGTTCAGTTTTTCAGTTACATTCATAACCATGAAATGTGTTAAGTGCATAATCTTGCACGCAACTAAAACTGTCAGCTACATTTTTTACTCCACAGCAACATCAATTAATTGAAACAGTTGTCTCAAAGCAATGAAAAGAACTGCAAATTAGAGATAATAACTTATTAGATTCACCACAGACAATGTAAGACAGTTTGAAAATTCTTCCTCTCAACCTTCCGTCCCCCCTGTACACAAGCCTCCTATCCTTCCCCTCTACTCAGCACTGGGGAGGCCACATCTGCACTCCAGTGTACAGTCCTGGGCTCCTCAGTACAAGATAGACACAGACATACAGGATGCATTTTCCACCAAAGGGCCACCAAGATGATGATGGCACTGCAGTATCTCTCCTGTGAGGAAAGGCTGAGAGATCTGGGACTGCTGAGCCTGGAGAAGGCTCAGGGTGGAGCTCAACAATGTATATAAATACCTGAAGGTGTAAAGAGACAGTCAGGCTCTTCTCAGCCCTACCCAGTGACAGGACAAGAGTCAATCATAGAGTGGTCTGGGTTGGAAGGGACCTTAAAGATCATCTAGTTCCAACCCCCCTGCAGTGAGGAGAGGCATCCCCCACTACATCAGGTTGCTCAAAGCCTCATCCAACCTGGCCTTGAACACTTCCAGGGAGGGGGCATCCACAATTTCTCTGGGCAACCTGTTCCAGCATCTCATCACCCTCAAAGCAAAGAATTTCTTCCCAATATCTAATCTAAACCTACCCTCTTTCAGTTCAAAGCCATTGACCCTTGTTCTTCTGTCACTACCTGCCCTTGAAAAAAGTCCCTCCCCAGCCTTCCTGTAGGCCCCTTCAGGTATTGGAAGGTCACTAAAAGGTCTCCCTGGAGCCTTCTCTTCTCCAGGCTGAACAGCCCCAACTCTGAACAACCCTCAGTGGCCACAAACTGAAACACTTAAGTACACAAGCTGGCGAAAAGCCATCTTTTAAAAGACTAAAGCTGCTAGTTTTCAGTCAGAAACAAATTAAAAGAAACTACAAGGGGACATGAAAATTTTCACACCTGGACTCTTAGAGCAGAAGCCTGTCTTGCCCGATCATGCTTATTTGAGGCACCAAGGGTCAGCATTCAGGAAACATAGATCCTGTTATTTTATTCACTACGTGCCCCCAAAATTATGAGAGAGAAATACAACTTAATGAAGTCAATCACATAAGGTAAGTATTTCATGGAACCTGTAAGATAACGTAACACACCAGATCATCTGGCACTAAAAACAGCAACATTCCTAAGAGAAAATACTTTCTTTTCAACTTACCATCGGTAGAAGTTCAGCAGTTTGGCTGGAACATTTCTGTAAGTGTCAATAACATCTACAAAAACAATATCATCATAGGTTCTGCTTTCTTCCTTCAATAGAGCATCTTCCTCTTCAAGATTTTGCATGTGACTTGTAAACCTTTCTGGGCGCGTATGGAGGCTTTTTAAAAGAGCATCACCTTCTGAAAGAAACAGCACCCACCATTAAACAAAGATGCATGCCTACATACTGTTTCATATGTTTCTCTTGGATCACACACAATATATTGACAAAATTAATCTAAAGTGTTTAACTCAATGGGGTTATTAAAATCCTACAATTAACTTAAAAATTTCTATGAAAAGTTAAAAGTTGCAGAACAATAAATATATTTTTGCACAAGGTCTGATACAGAAAGTTTAAAGTAAAAAAGTATTCTCTTCCTTTTCAGTAATAAAAGGATTCAACTTTTTAAGGTTCTTTAATATAAAGATCTATCTGGGACTTCACTACTGCTCTTATCAG